TACATTTGGAGTTTGAATTTGTAGGTTGGAGGAAATAAAGTTGTTTTTTTACTGTAAGAGTTAACCCAAATTAGGACCATCTAATAGATATATATTTATTATACCAAAATTCAGTATTTATCTTTAATAATATTTTTATTTAAGTATGTAAGATAGATGTATATCATTAGATGGCAAAATAACATATCTTGGATATGTCCATTTATATAAGCCTTCTTTGAATTGTGTCAGACTAACGAGACAGTGAAGTGCCATAAATATATATAACTGTAAATAAAATTTGGTATTTTCTTAATTCTGATCATTTTTCTGCTGTATATTAACAAGCCTAATCTACATTGAGAGGCAATAACAGGATTTAATGTAAACAATAAATAAGTCATTTATCATCACCTAAATTTAATTTTATGAGCTGTACTCAACTGCTGCTAAGTTTATCTCCTGTTTTCATTATATGAATCATTAACTCATAAATTGGTGCTGAAATGGAATCCTGTAAAGCTTTATTAGGCCTTTCACAGCATTTAACATGATGAACAACAATAACCTGGAGTCATTCTGGTTGACACATGATGCAAAAACACAATCAATGCAAATGCTAATGTTAAGTAAGATTGCTGGAGCTGTTGTTGTGAAAGGAGCTATCCGTCACTGGTTAAAGGTCACTGACTGTCCCAGAAACCAAATGTGTTTCAGTAACATTTTAGTTTAGACTGGGGCCAAAACCTCCTAAAAAGGTCATGTCAGTGTTCATTTTTAGGTGTGAAGCCGGAAACAGGTATGATCTTACACTTTCACACTAACCGTCAGATTCATATATGGCAAAAGATAATTCTAATAAGAAGAATGATCTTAGCTGATGATAAAAAGACCTTAAAGTGAGTTTACTAATTCAACTTAATAAATCTCACACTGGAGAAATTCACGTCTGCATTTAACCAATCCCCTTGGGAAGCAGTGGGCTGCCGCTGTGCAGTGCCCGGAGAGCAGTGTGGGGTTAAGGGTCTTGCTCAGGAACCCAGAGTGCAGGCTTTGGGTTTTAAACTGGATACTTGCAACCTTCTCAGAGCACAAGCGCACTTCTCTTACTACTAGGCCAACAGTCCCAAATAAGGACACTGAAAACAACTCGCACTTAGTAAGGGATCGCACAGAACCGTGACGCAAAGTTGGCCTGATATCCACTTTGAGTTGTCAATTTTTTGTGGGTTAAGACTGCTCTGCTTCAGTATTATTAATGATTTTATCTTAACATTTAGGCAAGCTATGCAATTTTAAAAGGAGGTATATAATTTATTCATCTAATATCACAATAAGAACAAGCAGACAGTCATACTGATGAGATTAAAAATTACAATTAAATTAAACAAAACATTTATTCACCACTTGGTTGATACCTTGTTCAGGTACTGTATTAACTTCCATACATATTCATGTATTTTCTTCATTTTTTGTCCATATTTTATATAAATATAGAGAAATAAATATCAGACAACAATAACCTCACTAAAAAGTGCAGTTTTCAAAAATAACTTTTCGGTTTGAGAAATGTAAAAAGAAAAAAAAAGGGAAAAAAAGGACCAACCTATCTGTATTTGTAAAAAGCTTAAATACAATGGTCTTTCCAATGCACAGTGATTGTTTTCATGTTTGACTTTTAAAAGGCCACTTTCATATTGTGTTCGTGTGCTAATCAGTGGTGGATCAGATGGTGGACCTTGAACTAAAGTTTTTTTTAAGTTTTTTAAATTTTTTTGGGAGGAATGGATTCCTAGATCAAGTAACAGCCACAAGTTGGTAAATAGTTTTCAACTAAGAGCTTTCCCATGAAACCGATCTTTGCTTGGTCTCCTTCTTACTGTTGAATTATTTATTATTATTTAAACTCTGACCTCAAAGTTTGATCCGTCGAGAATTAAAATGTTTTTGTGGCTTCCCTCTTAACCTTTTGGATGAGCTCATTACTGAATCTGTGCTGGAGATTTATTTTATCCAGATTTGGGTAGTTTTAGCGATTTTCCATCTGTTCTCCCTTTGTGTTTCTCTGAAGGCCAGAAGTCTTAAAATGCTTTGTAACTGTTTCCAGATTAAACAAATGGAACTTTTTTTATTTATTTCTGAACTTGTTGCTGATCATCAGGGTAATATATGTTACCTTTTGACACATTGAAGCCTATTTCATGTTTTCAGAGTTTGTGTGTAAGTCACAAATATTTGACATTTGGCCAGGTTGTTTTAAGTTGCTGTGTTCCATAAATGAATTTAATATTCTTAATCATAATTATCAATATCCTGTTCAGAAACAGTCAGTGATGCATTGGGTAGCGCTGCTGCCTTGCAGCAAAAAGATTCTGGGTTCAATTACCGGCTCCGGGTCTTTCTGCATGGAGTTTGCATGTTTTCCCTGAGCATGTATGGGTTCTCTCTGGATACTCTGGCTTCCTCCAGGTGTGAGTGCATGGTTGTTTTTTTTCTCTGTGTTGCCCTGAGATGGACTGGCAACCTGTCCAGGGTGTAACCCTCTTCTCTTCCACTCACAGCTGGACAAATGGCACCAGCACCCCTCATGACCCCACTTGGGATAAGCGTGACGGAAAATAGATGGAATATATTCCAAATGGAAAATTATTTAAACAACAGTTTTATTTGCCTTTGAGGGACAAATGTGGGTACAGAGTACTTTAAAAAAATTTCTTTTTCACTATAGAAACTCTTTGCCTCCTGGACTGTACACTGCACATGGTGAAAATACAGTATAAGGAACGGCTTTTGACCAGTGTAGTGACCAGTGGTTAAAATAAGTGCCTTTTTCCCTTATCACTAAATAATTACATGTGGGATTTCTTTATGGTTCAACATTATGTTTCCAAAAAAATATATATATATATATCATTAAAAATGTTTTAGCCAAAGCAAATCAAAGATTTACGGAAGGTTCCATTTGGTCAGATATATAGATAGCAAACTCTGTAATAGGGTCACTAAATGCATTGATTCCCTCATTGATGTCCTGAGATCTTTTACATTTGTTTTGTGAAATAACACTCAGGCATAGTGAGTTTAATATTCCTCTTTTTATTTTACAAAGTCAGGATGCCCCTTACTGATACTAAATTATATATGGGTAATTCAAATATCCCTGTGCAGTCATAATAATAAACACAGCTGCTACTATTTTAAAAACTATTTCAATTCCATTTGCTAACCTGAAACCACCTGGGTGGACACTATTTCTGATTTAATGACTCCTAATTCTTTGAGAAATTAGAAATTTAATGTCCAAGTCCTTTTTCAAATATAATTATAATCATTCCCTCAAATGACTTCATGCATTTGCCGTGAAAGGCCTGCATATGCATTCAGTCTACAGTATTGTTATCAGATAATGTGGCTGGTTATGAAACGTATGCAACATTCTTGGTTTTACAAGATTCTCAATCAGCATTGACAAAACAAGTCCCTTTTGGAGCTATAAATGATTGATAAAGAGGAACCAGAACATTGATAGTGAAGATAAAAAAGTAAAGAACAATGGTTACATCTTTCAGTAGAGACCAAGTATTTATGCAATCTTTGAATTACACTTTTTCTATGTTTCTAGCAAGGGTAGTACAAATGGCATGTCAGAACAGTGTGTTCTTACATGTACACTATACAGCACAAAGGTTTAACATTACCCAAATGTTTTCTCATCTAAACATTTGTTGGATATAGCCATATAGAACTAAAAATTTACCACATCTCCCAGCATGCAATGTAACTTTGACACAACATAGCAAGTTATATAAGATATATAAAATAATTGTTCAGCTCCACTAGTTTTGTAGCTTTTTGCTACAAAAGAAAAAAACCTTCAGCTCAGAACGAGTAGAGCATATATGCTGAGTTACATTTACTATTGCTTACACTTCCGCCAATAACAAAGGTGCAAGTTCACAAAGTTATTTGACCCAAAGAAAAAATAGATCTTTCTGCATTTTTCTTCAGCTACATCAATCATTTATCATGCATAGATCAGTAAATGGACTAAATGATCAATAGACTGAATTGTGATACATGTCTACAGTTTAACTGTCATCCTAAACCTTAATCTCTTCTCATTTTACGTGGGTAGCCTTTAACATGTTGATTTGGTGGGAAGACTTTCCTTTTATCTAATGTTCCACTTAATGTTGTTATATAGTCAAAGGTTTATTTCATTTATTTTCAGGATGCTTCTTCTCTACACGCAGCACTTTCACAACACGTTATAAATATCTTTGTCGTGTTGCAGACATCCCTTTGAAAATATTCTTTTTTTATGTGCTTTTAAAAAGAAAACATGAAGCTTAAATGTGTGAAGTGACAGATCTAAAGAGAAAAGTAGTCAGTTACCATTTCTGTCTCTTTTTTGGCTTTTAACTGTTCCTTTTTTAAAAGGAACGCAGTCAGAGCCTCGGTGGGGAGCAGAGACCAACCGGTGGTGACTCTTCATCAGTGTTCTTTCACTTTGCTATTAGTGTAACCTACTTGACTGTCTTGCTCCTTCAAAACACAGAAGCTTCTAAGGAAGCAAACATTGTCAGCTGGTGTGGGCGTCACAGCGTAGATGTAACTAAAGGATTTGCCCATATTGCTATGGAGACAGCAGTATACAGCAGCCTAAAGAGAGATAGATAACCCTCCCCCCCACCACCACCACCCTTATTCCTTTTTGTTTTTAAGCTATTTTAATACTCTTGCACTGAAGTGTTCACCCTCAGGAGGTCTGCACTCTTCCTGCTGTTATTTAGACATATAGAGCCAAAACATCCATAATATCACCTCGCTTTAAAGTAAAACCTTGGTTTATTTGATTTTGTAACCACAACTCTTGGATGTTCAGATGTATGCTCTGTCATGTAACATGAAAATGTTTGTACATGTATTGTGTTTTTCCAGGAAGGTGTACCTTATTCAATCAGTTGTTATTCTAAACTTTCAGAAGGCAATTTAATTGAATAAAGCCATAAAATGCTTACCACTGTCACTGTTGTCATCTACCAGAATAATCTCCTTAAGCAGGTGTGCTGGTGTGTGGTTGACCACGCTGTGGACGGAGCGGAGGATCACTGACAGCGCCTCGTTCACAAAGATAAAGACAACCGAGATCTGTGGAAGGTCCTCTGGGTACGTCAGCTGCTTACACCTGATGAATAAAAGAAAAAAAGATAATTAGCCGCTGTCAAAGGTGTTTTGAAATAAACTTGAAGCTTGTTTATTCATTGTTGCAGCAGGAGATTTGCATGTAGAATTAACAGCACTGATGATGGTTAAGTAACTTCCCAATAAGCTATGGTGGTAAACTGAAAACAACATAATAAAGGATACACAGCTAGAAGCCATTTTTCTGCTTCCTATGCTTGAGTGTTTAAGTATGTCGGATCTTGTGGTAGCAAAATTGATGGAAACATTCATAAGATTATTTCGTGTTCTTATAATAAATGTAAGGATATTGCCTAAAGCCTTTTTGGCTGAGCTAAAACCATGAAAACAAAATGAGTTTGCAAGATTTTTGCTTTAGATTGCAATATTTATTGACATATTTATTTCTATGGTGCAAACAACCTTGATTGTACCCCCCAAAGCAAATGTGTGCATTTGAAAAAATGCCTTACTCAGCACAGCAGGTAGGCTAGTAAAAAAGAAAAAAAAAGTTTTAATTTGAAGGATCACTTTTGTCAGGTTTGAGCAAAGCTGCTCTGCACCAGGAATTAAGTTGCAGAGTACTTTTCACAAACAATATGCTTTAAAAAAAAAAAAAAAAAAAGCTAAGCACTAACTGTACTTAATGCATCTACTGTTACTGATGTCTTATTCAAAAGTTACCAGATTTAATGTTTAAACTTCCAGATCTATTTTCTAAATAAGATCAGAGAAGTCAAGAAAAAACAAAAACAAAATCGGTTTTAGCAAGTATTCTAGTAGCTTACGAGGAAAATATTGAACATAATTTATATTTAGAGGTGTCAAACTTGATCAAACAGAGAACAACAGTCAAGAATAAGTTTTATCAGAATGCTAATATCATATATGCTAACCCCTATACAGGGGTATATATATATATATATATATATATATATATATATATATATATATATATATATATATATATATATATATTTATATATATATATATGTCTCTAGAAACAAACTTTATGTTTAATACACAACTATATATAAGCACAAAATACAGTGTAAGTTGACCTGAATGTGCAAAGAATAAAAATAAATACTGGACTGGTGTATTGACAAAAGAACAAAGAAACATAGCAGGAAGAAGTGTGTCACTCTATGATCTGTCTATGGTTTGTCATACAGCTTTGTTTCTTCAGGATCTGTCCAACTTGTTGCATTTTTGGAACAAGAAATTCACTTTTCCTAAAGTACCTTTATTGAGACTTTCCAGCCATTAGTTTCATGAACTAAAGCTATGCTAGACTTGGGTGATGCAGCAGGAAAATAATCCAAAGTACTCCAGCAGGTCGTTTTCTGAAAGGATCATGAAAATATGGAGATTGCTGGTATTTAGATTGTTTTAACCCCCTCAAAATAGTTAATAATTTATAAATATATATTTAAACACTGCTTGTGATTAATTTTTTCAATTAATGCAGATTCACTTTATCTGATTTTAAACTTATGTTGATGATTTGAAAGATTGAACTGAGATTGATCACATCAGAATCACAAATGTCCAAGTTGTATTTAAACTACACTGGGTTTTAAATAGGTCACATTCCATGGTCCTATGTACCTTTTCTACATTACAAATATTGTAAGACCTCAAAAAATCAATGAGAAGGACACATATTGACATCTCATTCTTTCTAGATCTGGAGGTCAATCTTTATTTTGAAAATGATGCCTCTTAACAAATGTTAATTAACGCTAATAAAACTCGGACTGATATCATGTCCATTAGACTTTCAGGAGCAGGTCATGATGAATGATGCAGTATTTGTAAATGTGTTGTGCATTTTAAAACTTTTTGACTTTCCTTTATGTATTTATTATTACTGGATTATTTACAGTAATGTCTTTTTCTCTGTCTTAAGGAAAAATAAATTATACATGTTTTTTTATTTTCTCATATTCACACCATCTTAAATATGTAAGTATTAACCAAACCACAGCACACAAACAGATTCTGTAGAAAGCAGCCAACACATGCAAATACATGACATTGCTCAAATCCAATTAGGCTTAAAATGCTAAAGCAAAAGAAAAAAAAAAAAAACCCCACTATCATCAGTATTCCCTTTCCCCATGTTTTTGTCTACCCTACTGAGCAAGCTGATTCATTATGTAGGACTAATGAGGTGACTTATACTAACAGAGGAGAATTATTTACAAGACAATGACTCATTTGTGTTTATCTGTACGAAAATTTCTCAGAGTATAAGAGTTAGAATATAAACAAATCAAACATTAGTAAAAGTCTACTGATCGGCAGGTTTTTGAGTTAACTTTAGAGGCAGCAGCTGTTAAAGAGACTTCCTCTTTAACAATGATTAATGTCTTCATGTCATAATAATAATGATAATATTCATAATAACCCCAATGTGGGCATTTGATTTACTTCATTAAGATTATTAGAGATTATTTTGTCACTTAAAATTTAAGCATATTTTTGTTTCAGAATGAGTTCTTCAAAGGATTATGAACTTATTACCAAATCTTTAAAATCAACTTAACTTAGAAATAACTATTAATAAATAATTAACGTTAATGACTTAAGCAAAGTAATTATTATGGCTGATCAGAAGTGGATATTCTACAAATGTATAGCAGTTCAGGGGGTAAAAGATCTAGGCTTATGTTCTGTGCTCTCCCCTTCCCCTTGGGAAGGCCAGAAAATTACATACAGAAAGCCACATTAAGTACAATGCAGCAAACACTGCACTGGCAAAATTCACTGAGAAGCTTGGATAGTGGATATTTTAATGGGAATGAGAATCCACACAGGGCTTTATAATGGTGTAGTTTGAACAGGGGGTGTCCCACTGTCATGGTATTGGTTCTGTTTTATAAAACTCAAAGTTTTATCTTTGAGTTTTCATTGGATTTATTTCCATTTTGAGTTGTTCTAGTTATTTTGACTGTATTTGAGTTCTTAGGTATTTGTTGTTTATCCTCTGTTGCATTCTTTATAAGCCTCCTTTTCCCCCGCTCCCTTCTAGATTCCTCTGTCCACACCTGCTCCCAATCTGCAGATTAGCCTGGTCTTTGTTTCTGTCTCCCATATATACACCTCCTGTTCAGTTACTGTTTGCTGGTCATCATCATTTCTTTGCCTTTGCTGTGAGTATTCCTGCTTCTCAGTATTTTGTGGATTTATGTCTTTTGCTTCAGTTCTCACCTTTAAAATTAAATATGCAAAAAACTACCTTCAGCTACAGTCTCTGCATTTGGTCTCCTCCTCTCAAACCTCCACCCAACCTGAAACCCACAACTAGACATCAAAATACTTGGGATACAGGAGAGTGGCTGCCTGCGACTTTTTATTGAATCCTTTTCTTGCTCACCCAAAATTCTGAACTCTCTGACCATGGTGCTTTTTCAGGTCTCACTTTTGTCCTGCTTCTCTCCCCTGCCTATGGAGTTAAGGGGCAATGACCAGCCTTTAGAATGTGTATCAATAAATGTGTAGCAGAAAGCTACAAGGATTTTTAGTTTAAGCTTAACACAAGTGTTTGGAAAAGGTGCCCAAGTTTGACCTAAGATAAACTTTATAGCCTACATGGAAATCCTGTGAGGTATAAAACTCTGCAAATAATTCTGCACACATTACGCACTTTATAAAACATGGTAGAGTTATCATCATGCTGTGGAATTGAGTGGAATGGTTAGAAAATGCAGGTAAATCCAAGGCAACGCTGGAGGAGAACCTTCTAGAGCCTGAAACAGGTTAACCAGCAAGCAGGACAATAACCTTAATATTCAGCTAAAGCTACAAGGGAAAGGGCCAGGCTGTTGGGATCCTTAGGCTTGCCCACCAGAGGGCGCCGAGGATCCTCTACTGTTTTATGTTGTTTTCTGTTAGGACTGGGGTTACTGTTGGGATCTGGAGAGTTACCATCTGTCTCCAGCAGAGAGCGCTGTGGGTCTCCTGGGCTGGAGCCTCCAGCACACCTGAAGCACATCAGCCCATCAGGAGACCTTCCTTCATAAGCAGCAGTCAGACCTTCCTTCGACGCCGGAGTGTTGACCAAGTTTGGTTAGCAAACCTAAGCCTCTGCACAGTAGACTCTAGAGAGCAACTGGATTCTAACCTGTCTCTATCTTCTCTACTCACAGAAAGCCTGACTGAAGTCAGAAGCTCTGGATGAGCTTTACCTGGAAACCTGCCTGCCTGCCTGCCCAAGGAAGCCAAACCTGAAGGTCTTAGCCTGGATTCCTCCTTCAGCTCTCAGGGGAGAGCTAGGAAGTTGAACCTGAAGATCTCAGTCTGGATTCCTCCCTCAGCTCTCAGGGAAGAGCTAGGAACCAAACCCACGTCTGAGGCTCACTAGCCAGAAGCTAGACGCTGCTCCTGCTGACCTCTGTTACTTCCTCAATCTCTGGACCCACTCGGTTCCCCATCTCAAGGATCTGTCAGAACCTCTTCAAGGTACATTCGAAAATTAGCCACTCATCAATCCATTCCCATCTCTCCAGATATCAGTGATCCCAGACCCGGACCTGTACCAGAACCAGTCCATGTTTCTCTGTGCATCTTCCTTTAATAAACATTAACTTTTCCTCTGTCTCCAGTCTGGTGTTCTGCATATGGGTTTAGCTCATTAAACCGATCATGACACAGGCAAATGTGTAGCAAGACTAAAAGCTGTTTGTTACAGATACTCCCTATTGGATCAGATTAAGCTTTAAGTGGTTAAGATTCCCTTTGGAAATCTTGGGCTCTGGTGTCCTCTGTGTGTGTAGGGTGAGTCTGGGGCTCCTCACACCCATTCTTGTATTAAGTATTTTTCACAGAAGAACTTGATACGAGTTTCTGCCATACTTTTTAGATTTTGATTACAAAAGTTTTTTTGCTTCTAAATATAAATGATGAAATTATTTTTTACGCTAGGTGTAATTGGTGTAACATAGCACCTGTGGTGACTTTTCTATAAAAAAATGTAAATTGAACACATTAACACTAGT